GCCCGGCCTCAGCCGCCCCCTCCCACAGCCCGTCCTCCCGGCATCGGGCCAGCGGCGCCAAAGCCTCCGACTCCCAAGGCAGGTCCTGGCCACAAACCAAAATAAGTAAGGAATCTGGACGAGACAGGAGACAGTGTGCGACCTCGGGTCCCCGCTCATCCATCTATCACCTATCATCTATCTATCTATCTTGCATCTATCTGCCTATCACCTACCTATGTATCTATAGATCTATCTGCCCACCCCCACCCTCTTATCCAATCCATCCATCCATCCATCATCCGTCAACTATCGCTCTCCTGTAGGACTAGGATTAGGATTCTTTAATGAGAGCTTTACGCGACGTCGTAAATTAACCCGTTTAACTGGAAAAGCGAAGTAGGGCTTTTTTTTTTTCCAGACAGAAAATGTCTTAGAAAATTTAGTTGTTAAAGTCTAGCTTTGCTAATTATGTTAAATGGTGGTCTTTTTCTATAAATTGAATGAGCAGAAGAGAAAGCTCTAAGGTTTCGACAAAATTTAAGTCCATTTATATTACACTTTACGCCAGAAATTACGTACTTGAGTTTAGGTATCAGCCAAATATGCACAAAGGGTACAGAGATTTTTCAAAACCTTTTTAAACGGCTTCAAGCAAAAGTCCAAGCAGCAGTAGCGCTTCCCTACCCCTACCCCACTTCGACAATCTCGTGGGCAGGCGGGGCCGGACTTCGGGACCAGGAAGGAGGAAGCGGAAGTAGGAGGAAGGGCGGAGACAGTGACCGGAGCAGTGAGAGCCGGAAAGGAGTGGCTAGCGGGGCACAGAGGGGGGGAGCCCAGTGCGGTGACGCTCTAGCCTCCGAGCGCTGTCTCTATGCTCCCCCGCGTCTAGTCTATTTATTGTCGCGGGGAAGCAGCGGCCGCCCCGGACCCGGAACAACAAAGCGCGAAAGAGGGAGCCCGTGCCTCGGGGGCTCCTAGCAACGGGCCGGGGCGGGAGTTCCATGGAGACTGGGGAGCGCGCCCGCCTCATCATCATCCTCGTCCTCCAGCTTATCCTTCGCGTCCGACGCCACCGGCATCAGCGCTCCTGCCGCGTCCTCTGCCGCCGCCCCCTCTTCCCACGGTAACC